CCCCCCCACCATATCCATGTGTTTCTCATGGCTAATCCACCTAACCTACACATCCCTGAACACAATGGGCAGTTTAGCATGGCCAATCCACCCTACCCTGCACATCTTTGGACAATGGGAGGAAACCGGAGCACCCGGAGGAAACCCACACAGACACGGGGAGAATGTGCAAACTCCACACAGACAGTCGCTTGAGAGTGGAATCGAACCTGGGTCCCTGGCGCCGTGAGGCGGCACTGCCAACTGTGTAACCTCATGTGTGTTGGTGCTAATTGAATAATAACACAAATTCTGGACAATTCCTATTGGGTGCTGCATGAGTGTGGTGTAACCATGTAGACTGGATACTGCCTTTGTAACTTCTGTGTTCCGTTCTTATCTCGCACATCGCACCACCCATGACCCTGAATGACCCAATTTGACCTGAACCGCCCAGCCCCCGCCAAATCGCCCGACTCGAAACCTGAAATCCAGCAAAACCCAGGTCCCAGTCGTGACCAAGTTGAGCCACTGACATTCCCAGCTCTAACTTTGAACTAGCCCCCCAACCCTTCGTGGGGGAGCAAGGACCTCTCCGAAGCATCACAGACTAACTGATGGGAATCAGGTATCCTCCACCCCGCCCCCCGTCCCCCTCCAAAACAACCCACCAAAAACAAGACCCTCCCCAACACCCATGCTTCAAAAAAAAAATAAATTGAGCCCTTTGGAAATTTCAGATTGACAGATTTTTGTTGGTGATGGGTTTTGAACGTCGTGGAACTGAACTAATTTGACAGAATTGAATTACTTTTACAGGCTGACCCGAATCTCAACAAGCACACAGCCTCCCCGTTTTCCGCCGCGCCCCCCCCACCACCCGCCCTGTTCCTTGTCAGTTGTAGGCCCCAAATATTCCGTGTCCCGCAATTATTTTCTGACATTTATTCTGGGCGGGACTTGCAATTTTTAGAAAAGAAAACACACTGTCACGGGCTGATTTCTTTATTTAAAGCTGGGGTGTGTAGCAGGAAATCTTGGATCTGTTTTTTTTTTGCAATGGCTACACAGGATGGAGCAGTGTCGGGGGCGGGTTTTATTTTGGATTGAGGTTGGTGTGTGGGTGTTAGTGGGTTATTGGACCGTGTCCAGCTGAGCTCTGAAAGTTCCCTTGTGGGTGTTTTGAGGCTGGCTACAATTTCCAGGCCACTGCCTTCTAACATGTGTTCTATTTATGTGACGGGCACATGTTTATAAACAGCACGTTCCTCCCGACCCGGTGCCAAGAGGTGGTGCCAGCAAGCACACATCTGGTTTGCTTTAGGGCTGCTGCGCAGCATCTCATGTCTTCAGCCTCTCCCGCTTCCACATGTGGGGCGGTGGATCCCGTTTAACAATCCTGCCTGCTTGGCATCAAAGTGGCACGCAGCTCTCAAGCTGGCGTTGAATGTCGGCTGCGGCTCAGCGGGCAACGCCGGCTTGTCGGCCAGAGGGCTGCAGGTTCAAATCCCGCTCGAGAGACTTCGATTGGGAGAAAAAAAAGTTGAGGCTGAAATCCTGGACAAGCCCTGGTTACTTGTCAATGGCCGGGGAGGGGTGGGGTGGGGCGCAGCGCACAGTGGCTTGGTGGTCAGCACCGCTGCCTCACGGCACCAGGGTTCGATTCCTCCCTCGGGTGACTGTCTGTGCGGAGTTTGCGCATTCTCCCCGTGTCTGCGTGGGTTTCCTCCGGGTGCTCCGGTTTCCTCCCACGGTCCAAAGATGTGCAGGTTTAGGTGGATTGGCCAGACTAAATTGCCCACAGTGACCAGGGTGTGCAGGCTGGGTGGCTTAACCATAGGGAAATACAGAGATAGGGTACGTGCAGGGTGTGGGGGGTGAGTCTGAATGGGATGCTGTTCAGTGTGGACTCGATGGGCCGAATGGCTGGCTTCCATATTGTAGGAACCCTATGAAATGCCCACTGCTGTACTGAGCCAGATGCTGGATGTACCCCCTTAGATAAACAGGAACAATTTGCTTCATGATGTCCCAAATGCAGTGCTTTCGCAGTGTAGGCTCTATTGTAGGCACTAAAGTAGCCAATTTGCACACAGCCAGTTCTATAACAGCAGCAGGTGTAGTGAACAGTTAATTCCCCTGATACTGGTTGAAGTGAAGTGTCAGTATTGGCCATAGGACAGTCTCTATTGCTGCCCTTTAAGAATTTGTGTCCTTGAAATTTTTAAACATCCATTGGAGATAAATTAGTTCAAATCTCTTTTCCAGAAGACATCAGCTCTGCTGGTGCAGCACTGGGACATCAGCCTCTGCTTTCCTACTCGTGACCTGGAGTGGGACTTGAACGCACCGCTGACCCGGGGTATGGGGGGGGAGGGGCGGCGTTGTGTGTGCAGAGTGAGCCCCACTGAGTCCAGCACTGCCTGGAAAAGCTCCCCAGCTTGGCGGTCTTTCACCACTTTGCTGTTTCTGGGATTCTGCTGTGCTCACATTGTCTGCTGCATCGCAACAGGTTTTAAAAAAAGGACCTCCTTGGCCATAAAGTCTTGTTTTGACTTGTTGATGCGGAGGAAAGGGCTGTAAAAATGCATCTTGTTTTTATTTGAGGGTCTGCCTTGGAGCTCCGCATGTTAAAAGCCCACATCGCTGCCCTCCTCCCTCACCCCAGTCACTTCACAGATCCTGCCCTGATTGTACATCTCACACAGTCAGCCCCTTGTCTATACACAGATTAGCACACGCTCATGATCTGTCCTCTTAACTTACTATGAAAACTCGTGTCCGGTTTCAAGACATGAGTGCCTGCATTTGTCTAGTGCCTTTTGCAACCATGGGGTGTCTCAAACTATCGTACAACTGAGGAAATACTTTTTTTTTTAAGTGTCACTGTCGCAGTGCGGGAAACATGGAAGCCCGT